TTTGTTTAGATTTTGAGTGCAGTTTACGCTCGAGAGTAGACAGCTTTCCTATAAAATCGCCTATAAAATCGAAAAAAACATCATTCCTCCTTTCAGATTCCGCGATCATTTGCACCAGCGATTGAAAGAAAAATCTCAATTTCTTTTTGCATAAAAAAAAAATTTCTTTACGACAGATTACTTATTACTACTAATTAGTTTGAGACATAGATTTGCTTCGAATTATTTAATTATCACTTTTATCACCGGATGTTCCATTTTATCAGATGATTTCTCCGTAGCTGGAAATTCACTTTGTGTTTATTTAGCCGGAAATTTGTTTTACTGATCCCCATTTTCGTTAGTTTTACAGATTTCGCACCATCGAGAGACGTTCTCTCTCAATATTTTATATTATTTTATAAAAAATATTTTGCTTACCATTGCTATCTGTACAACGGAGATTTCTGGCATTCAGAATTTGTATATTCAGTGAATTATCGATGAAATATGCTTTGACGGTGATTAGACCGCAGATAGGTTCTTCCAATTCCTTTTGTTCTTCGAGACGTTCCTGATGATAACAATGTATAAGTTCGGCGGTTTCAAGCCCGTGTAATTTTAAAAGAGATTCAATCTTCTCCAAGACTTGCACGTTCGATGTTTCATCGGCACCGAGATTAAAGAATCGGATGAGCGTGTGAAGTGTGCGATGCAAGTTGGAATAAAATGCTGGCGGTCGTCGTCTCTGTAAAGTGACAGTTTAAAATTTAAAAAAATTGATTTTTTTTTACAATACAGGGAGATATAAAAAATATATTTTGATTTTCAATAAATACCTCTAAATTAGTGTTGACTAGCTCATACAGCGTCTGCGACATGATTTCCCAAATCACCAGGAGAACTCTCTTGAAGTTGTCCTCATTGAGATTATCATGCAAAGTTGTGAGATTACTATCTAGATACTGCAGCAGACGATCCATCGCATTGCTGGTCGTGTCAATTAATTCGGCACCCTCTATGAGATATCTGAAAACATAAATTAATCTCTTAAAATATCTTAGGATGTAAATTTAAAAAAAAATTAACTATTCTCATAGCAGAAATTTCTCAAAATTGGCAACGATTATTATTAATAAAAGAAACAGTTTTTATTTACATTCCACATACCTGCTCATTACGGGAGCCATTTTATAAGCTACCACTTCCAACAATTCTATGATCTTATTCTTCACAGTATCTGCGGCATTGTCAATGATTAACTGAAGAGTCTGTCGACAGCGATCAGCCTCCTCGTGAGTCTTGTGCTCTCCTAAAGCCTCTACGATATTTTGCAATCCCAAATCTTTGGCCAAAGGAGCGATCGATGTCCTGATGTAATCTATATTATTAATTGCAAAACACCAGGCCGTAGATATCGTAAACTTCTTCTCATAGACGCTACTTTGCGAAAGCTGTTCTAATTCCGTTGTCATCTCCGCTTTTTTAGCCATCTTGTCAGCGTATGCAATAGAGCATTTGCAAATGTCCTGCAAAACCATTATTTCATTATTGATTAATTCAATAAACGTGCATATCGTTTATTATATAGAATAAAAACAATTTCTCAAACTTACGTCAATAATTTTTGCTATGAACGCATAAGAACCTTCAACGTCGGGCCACGCTAACTGCGTCCAAAAGACTTTAATTTGATAAAAAGTTGTCAATGTGTCTACAGCGCTTGAAGTGTACTGAACGCTACTGTCAACTGCTTGTAATGAATCAATTTCGACTGCTCTATCGATGCGCTTAAGCGCTTTGTACACTGCGATGTCCAGCCAATGCGCAACACCGCTCCGGAACCAGTTGTAATAATTTTGTACTTTCATATACTCTAACTGCCCTTCGGCACAAAGCATCTGACCAAGTCTGTGAATCATACGTCGACGATTAGACGTGCAAATTCTTAAAAATTATCGATATCATGTAAATTTTGCAATAATACAAACACTCACACGGCATATCTTTGAAGCGTAAGATAAAGTTCGAAAAGAGTCGTGCCTAAGCTTAATTCCTCATTGTCAGTGCTATCGACTTCAATTCTCTTCAATCTGGCGCATACGTCCTGTATAATAACCGTGCACATATCACTGATTCTCTTCTCGTATGCAATATATAGCATTCTTGCATACGGCATGTTGATTCTTCTAAAATTTACAATCAATGTTTGTGTACTATTCGTGTATTATTAAATATAACTGTGATCTGTGCGTGTAATACTTTTCTTACTTACTTTATGAACAGTTTGTCGTGATAATCAATAGCTTTTTGCAAGTCCGCTCTAATCAGTTGGATTATTTTGATTTGATATCTAAGCGCATCTTCGTCCGATTCTGTGTCCGGCGAATTATTACTTGTTATATGTTCGAACCTGAAATACAAAATACGTGTGTGATAAAAGTGTCGAAGATTGAAATGTACTGAAATTCACAAGTTTTATTTTGCTTACCATTCGGCGCAGCCTTGTATAACAGTATATTCCAAACCTTGTAGCACGTCTATCTTCGAATCATCGACTTCAGGAAACCAAGAGTACATTTTAGTCGGAAAAAGATCGATGTCTTCAGGAACTTTTAAAGAGGATATAGACGATATTATTCTGAAATAATAAATGTTAATTTTTGAAATTTATTTTAAAACTTTACTTTTTCAAAATTTATATATTTTTTCTATTCTATAAATTTTGTTAAGGTCAAATATTATTTTTAAATCCAAGGTTGTGAAGTTGATAAAATAGTAGGAGAGTAGATAATTACCCTAAAATAGCGGACAATTGCATTATAGTGTTTCTGTCTTCCAAAGTCAGTCTTCGAATTTTTCGTATGCTATTCAAGCATGAATGCAGAACTTTTTTGGTGGCATCCCAAAAGAGTCTAGTTTCGTCAGCGGAAAATAGACCGCTGTCCATTGGCCTCAGCAAATCAACCGCGAGTTTATTAAAGACTGTGAAACTTAACGGATGCTCCTGATGGATTCTCGCATATTCAACCCATTGCGCCAGAGTGAGATTTCTAGCTAGTAAGCCGCGTTGCGCGCTGTGCTGAAGAATGAGCGCTTCAGCTGGTGCCGACCAACGACCACACCAACAGTATTTTTCGATTTTTTCCGTTTCAATCTCATGAAGCAGCAACACTCTCAACAGGTGTCGATGTTCTTGTGCGGCCACTTGCGCATTATGTTCCGCGCTGAAGGCCAGTCGGAGCTTTACAACGCCACGACGTTTAGATTTGTTCTTTTTCTCTAAAGCGTACCACATGGTGTGTCCAGTTGTTGGTATGTCCTAAAGAAAAAATATACAAGTAGAGCATATAATTATTAAAAATATAAATAATCTATCAAGATATTTGATAGTAAATAAAGAGTGATTTTAATTATATAATTTATTAATTAATGTAATTAAAATTACATAAATTCTTTATTTTTTTCTTATAAAAGTAAGATACGTGTATTGTTAAAAAAATAAAAGAGAAAAGAATGTACACCCTAACATATTTTAAATTATTCTAATTAAATTTTATATTACCTTCAACGCTATCCGACATCGGCCAATGAATTCATTATCGTGACTACCAGTCGTGGCTGTTACTGCGATTTCCTTGGCAAGTTTAACTAAGCCGCGAACACCTTTGATATCTTTAACTTTGCTCATCTTTTCAGGCACTGTTTCGGCAGCGTCAAAATCCCTGCAATGCATCCGTTTAAAGTTATATTAATGAATAATAGATAATATACACAGGGTAATACACATAGAACTCATAACTTACCATACTTCGAGGCACAGAACATCATTTTCGGGATCCTCCAATGGCCTAAATAAGAAAATAAAAACATATAATTTTTAATAATATATAATAGTAATTTTTTGAAAG